ATCCAGAAATTTTCAAAAGAATGTTTCCTAATTCCTCAAGTGACACGTCATCCTCATCTTCTCCTGTCCTTTTTCTTTCCTTTCCCTTCTCCTTTTCAGTTTATTCTGAAATTCTGAAAGTGATTTAGATAGTCGGAGTTCGGATAATTGGAGTTGTGCTGTACTATTATCATTATCTCTATCACTAACACTACAACTGTCACTACTCTTTGCTGCTAGGGATGCAAAATTTAAAAGTAATCATTTTTACTTCTCTTGTGATTCTAGTGTTTATTTTGATGACTTACAAGGTATGTTCTCCCGCCTTCCAGCATGCTTTCAGGGTTGTAACATCAGCACGTATTCCAGAGTTCCAGTTTCGAGTCTTGGTGAGGGCATTGAACATTTTTCACTACTTCGAAAAATAACCTAATGATTTTCCAAATGACGCCCAAATTAAAAGACAGTGGACAATAATTCGTCACCATCAGTATTTGACAACTGTGTCCTCTAATCCCTAGACGTCCTTTAAAAGGGTCGCATCTGAGGTATTTTCTTCCTCCTTGTAGCATGCCTTCATGGTGTAAGGGTAGCACACTCAGTACATATTTGAGAGGTCTAGGTTTGAGTCCCAGCGAGGGACTTGCACGTTTTTCACATCTCCTGCTTCAAAAAATCCTAATCACTCTACAGATTATGTTGCTGATTCATGCAGTAATAACACATGATGCACAGCTGCAAAGAAAGCAAATGAAAATTAATATTAGAAATGTGGAAATCTTCAATTTCACCATTCCCTCAGTTTTGCTGTTAACTTGCACTTGTTTTTGCTGAACTTATCCTGTATATAATGCAATTATATACACTCACTTCCAAAAGTTAAGCACGGAGATGTAAAATGCAAAAACAAAAATTAACAAATACTGCTTACTGCTTTGTTTGCCACAAAATTCGGCAGGAAAGTAGCATATATATTTATGCATAAATCAAAATAAATAATTATATACAGAAATGAAAACAATATTAAATTTTTGTAAGTTATCAGGTAATGACATACTGGAGACTTAAGCAGAATTATGTATAAAATGAAAATAAACAGCATAAAATGAAAAAAAGGACATAGGTTATGTGGTTCCGCATCATCTGTATACAAAGTTTACACCTTGTGACCATGCTTTCAATTAGGTGGTCAACCACCGCAGAATTAAGCAATCGCCATTCTTCTTGTAGAGCAGTTTCCAGCTCAATAAGAGTGGCTGGAGGTGGGGACCGTGAAGATACAGCATGGCCGAGAGCATCCCAAAGATTTTCAATGGGATTAAGGTCGGGCGAATATGCTGGCCACGCCATACGCACAATCCAAAAACATCACACATTCCGAGGCGGAAGCATTATGTTGTGGGCAGAGATTTCATTAGGATACTGCACATCTTTAAACAGGGTTCTTTGACAGCTGTCCAGTATCGAGATGAAGTCCTAGAACCCATTCTGAGATTGTATGCTGCAGCAGTTGGCCCTTCATCTCCAGTAGTCATCGACGATGTTAGCTCTATGGGAACGTGCATTATCGTCCATTAAAACAAAAGTAGAGTGCAATCTCACAATGGGTTCTAGGACTTCATCTCGATACCGGACAGCCGTCAAAGAACCCCGTTTGAAGATGTGCATGTCGGTACGGTATCCTAATGAAATCCTTGTCCACACCATAATGCTTCCGCCTCGGAATGCGTGATGTTCGGGGATGTTTTGGGGCTGGTTGCATGTTCGTTGTTCACGCCATATCCTTATACGCTTGTCATCTGGCTCCAGAGCAAATCTTGACGCATCAGTAAACATGACATTGCCCCAGTCAGACACATTCCAATTGACATGTTCCAGGCACCACTATAATCGTGTCCCTTCTTGATTGGACGGATAGAGGAACACAAACTTGAGGTACCCGGACTCTTATATAATCTTTGGCATACAGTAGCTACAGATGTCGCCTTACCAATGGACGCTGTAACCATAGATGTCACAGGTGTGGAAGTCGCTCTGCGATTCCGCTTGGCTACAATAGCAATATATCGATCTTCCGCGGGGGTTGTAACCCTTGGGCGACCGGCTACGGGCTTTCGGACAACTGTCTGTGTGGTTTGGAATTGTTTCTGTGAAAGTGAACGCCGAAGTAAAGAGCAACATCTGTGATCGACTGTTCTGCTTCAATGCGCCCCACAGCACGCCAGCGCTCACAATCTTCCATTCGTCTTCTGGAAGTCATAGAAACACGTATGTCTTTACAAATTGTACGCAAGTTTTAAACACCTTCTATATCAGCACTTACAATCAACTTCTGTAACCCTTCATAAAGCTGGCTTCTTATAAGACTGTCTTTTTGCATATTACTTAACCTGAAAGCGCGATTAGCTGTTACCTAACATATTTGCATACTTCCATCTACCTCTGCAGCGAATTGAATCCTCTTCAATTTTGATTGGCTTCCGGAAATTAGCATTTTCCTCTCTGTGCTTAACTTTTCGAAGTGAGTGTATTTGTGTCCAAAGAAAATTGAGCTCATCTGTTAGGAAGGGGTGTTCATTTTTCGACAGGGAGAGGTGCAGAGATCCCATCCGTGAGTGCAAATGCGTAAATCTGAATTCCGTTATTATAAAGATAAAGCCATTAGTTCCAGTTAACCTAAAGTAAGAAGAGAGAAGGCCATGACACTCGTCGAACAAGTCAAAGATGAGTTATCTTTTCTGTCCATTGTTTTTGGACCAATCTTTTGATAACTATCTCGAGAAGTGTATATATTCTCGTGATAGTTATAAACTAACTATGTCAACTTTGTCACTGTTGTTTATGAAAACCATTTTGGCAAAGATATGACTGTCCATGAAGATATATTCACAAATAAAAATGGGAGGATTTGAAGAATGCCGAGAAAACGTCCAATGTTAAAAGACAATGCATGTTCATGCATATTTAACTGCTCTCCAGTATCAATCACCAAAAGTTTGTAACTTTTAAAAATCAGTTCTATGTTGTTTGTTATGTCATGATCATAATAAAAATTTGATGTTTGAATTTAGATAGTTAATATTAAAATATATTCTGTTTTCATGACTTAATTTTTTAAAATGCTTGTGATAACAGAAAATTTTTTGATAAATGGGAAAAAAAGGTTTTGTTGTATGCTACTTAAAAAGGAGTAGTTTTTTAATGCACATAGTATACTACTATATATTTTATTAAAGATTTTTTTGTGGATTATTGGAGGGGGAAGTTATTGATTTTGGAAAATGCATTTACTTGAATGAAATGATCACGTTTATTCTAGAGAGTAGAATATGTATATGGTAGAAAGAGGGGATGTTAAGAAAACACTTATAAATATGAATGTATCATTTTTGTTATTATGGTTAAGTGCAGTTTGATCATCATTGCACAGTTTGATATATGTGGACAAGGATGCAATCAATTTTAAATTAAGATTTTAAGACATGTTTAATAAAGATAACGTTTTAATGCATATAGTAAGTTATTGTGTATATCATTCAAAGTTCTTCTTTATAGTATGCAAAGAAAGGTTAATGATTTTAAACATTGCATGAAATGATCATGACAAATGGATCATAGCCATTTTCCTAAATTTACATATGATGAAAAGAAATGGAGTTAAGGAAACATCAGCATGACTGCGAAATATAGTATCCAAAGGAAAGTTATTGATTATAAAAAGTGTATGAAATGATCATTGTAATATACCGTTATCCTAAAACGTGAAAACTAAAAAATTTTTTAATGTATAATATTTAAAAAAATGATCAATTTTATATTCATTGCAAATTGCAGTTCTAATTACTTTTCCCTTGATATTTGTGCTTCCAAACACTGTGAAGTTTATCTCTTTGCCAGTGTAGATGCTGTTTGTTAGATGCTGTTTGTAGATGCTGTTTGTTAGATTAATATCCTATTATAAATATGAATGCTGCAATTTAGGTTTTTTTAGTGTTACATATTTTTTAGTGTTATAATTTAGGTTTTTTAGTGTATTCCACTTTCATTGTTAATTTTTGTATGTGCTTATGATGGCAAAGAAATTCATGCTAAATGGGGAAAAAAACTTTTTGTTGTGAGCTATTAAAAAAGAGCAGATTTTAAACAAACATCAACATACTTCTAAATATTGTAACCAATAATTTTTGCACTTCTAATTGCTTAGTATTTAAAAAAACACGAAGTAATTTTTTATTAATTGGAAATTGTAGTTCTGTTGCTTTTCATGTGCTATTTATACTTTCAACCACTGCATTTCATAGTTCATTTGTTTTAATATTGCCATTATATATGTTGTTTGTTAGAATATGTCATTTTAAATATGACTGTTGGAATTTTTATTTTCCGATTAGAGTTAGGTATATTTCGTTCATCAAATATTTTTAATCATGTTTATTGACTAAGTCATATGTAGTCTTTCTTACATTTGCATATGTCAGAGATATAAAAGTTGCTGGTTATAATTTTTGCTATGAAACGCTTAATACTAGAGCTTGTATAAGATAGTGATTATTGTAAATTCTTATCTTAAGAGCCGCTTCCTAATCTATTAAGACAATGGTAATTATCAGTCAGTGTTTAAACTTTATAAGATTTTCGTTTGTCACTCATGGGTTTTTCAATTACATTTATGGAAAAATAATTAAAATATCTTAAGAAAGCCTAAAAAGTTAAAATGAGATATATAAAAACCTCCTTTTTTTAATCTGCTACATTAAAAAATTAAGTAGTATTCTAAAGTTACATTTCCTACGAAAATTTTAAAATATCCAATTGCAGATGACTTTCTGACTGTAACATCGAACGGAAAGTTCCGCCATACCTTTTAATGTCATGGCCCTCTCCTTTCACGAAGGTCACGGATCATATAAAACCATGTGATGTAGGCATGGCCATATCTCTTCTTCTAGTGGACAGACTATGTCTAATTTTTTTTGTGCAAATAAATATTTTAAATTAAATGGATTATCTTTGTTGTTTAGAGCTGTGATCTCTTCAAGATTTCGGAGCTTAGTGAACACACAAAATCTTCCTTCCTTCAGGTATAAGAAGGTAAGTGTGCTGGATTTATTGCTTTGGTACACAATAACCCAACCTTTAAGCTATGTGCCCTCTGTGAGTAAAATATCTCTACTGTCAAAATTTTCGATATGTAGTTGTGAATATAATATTTCAGTTCTGAAAGTTTAATTGGAAATAAAAAAAGGAAGTAACTGAAATCTGAAATATTTTAGTTGTTTATTAAATTAAAACAAGAAAGATTAAACTACACAGAATCAAATAAAAATACTAAAATGTACTCATAATATATGATAAATTTCAGCCTATATCCTTGCAGCTCCAAATTAATTTCGCTGAACTAATTATACTAATCTGTCAAGTAAACTAATATGTTTTTATATTACAATAATTTCTGCCAAAATGAAACATTATTATTTCAAAAAATCTGTATAATTAAGCAATGGTGACTTATGTACCTTAACTTTCATCTTTTAAATTATGACCTTAACATGCACCAGACATGTAGTGAATTATGCATCATAAGATTAATCAGTGTTAGGATTAAATCAAGAACAAATATAAGAATATTTATTGAAAAGTATAGAATACGGTGAGAAATGTTTTTAAATAATATTATGACATTATATATAACTAAAATTGAAGGGCTTGCAGCAAGGTCCCAGCTCCATTTTTTTTTTAATTTTCAGAAAATGATTACACTGCTGGCCACCGTAAATGTAACACCCTGAAGAAAGCATGCAAATAACATGAAATTTACAACATGCATTAGCGGAGGTGAGATATGAAATTGATTAAAATTTCAGCGCAAACGCACATCACGCGCGCCTGTGGCGCCACTTCAAAGCGTTGCTGTGGTGCCATTTCAAGGTTATTTAAGGCTTGGAGTTTTCGACGATTTCAAGTTCGGCAATTGTGTTTTTCTTTGTTTTCAAAAAAAAAAAAAAAAAAAAGAAGATCAATTATGCCTCGTACAGTAAACAGCGTCATCGTTTGATCAAGTATTCGAGTTCGACAGAGGAGGGATAGTGGCTTACCGAGAGTGTGGATTATCTTTCAGGGAAATCGGTAGTCGTGTTGGACGAAACCAAACAACTGTAATGCGAATATGGGACCGTTGAATGCAGGAGGGTACGATGGACCGACGTGTTCGATCGCATCCACCTCAGTGCACCACTTCACGTAATGACAGGAACATTGCGCGCATGGCAGTGATGGATCACTCAGTCACATCACGAACCATAGCACAGCACATTCAGTCTGTAACGCATCATCCAGTGTCTGCGTGTACCATTCGACGCCGTTTACAGCAGAGTGGTCTGTCCTCAAGGCGTCCATTGCTTCGTCTACCCTTGACGCAGAACCACAGACGTCTCCACCGCCAATGGTACGATGAAAGAAGGACGTGGACGGCAGAATGGAATGAAATTGTCTTTACTGAAGAGTCACGCTTCTGTCTGCAACACCACGATGGTCGAATTCGAGTCTGGAGACACCGTAGAGAGAAGAAGCTGAACAGCTGCGTTATGCACCGTCGCACTGGTCCTGCACCGGGTATTATATTATGGGACGGTATTGATATCACTCTCGCACTCCTCTAATACGCATTGCCGGTACTTTAAACAACCAGCGATAAATATCCGAGGTATTGGAGTCAGTTGTCCTTCCTTACCTTCAGGGCTTGCCCACAGCAATATTTTATCAGGATAATGCGCGACCACACATGGTACGCATTGTCCAAGGGCTCTTCGTCAATCGCCAGATTGAATTGCTTCCCTGGCCGACTCGCTCTCTAGATCTTTCGCCGATAGAAAACATGTGGTCCATGGTTGCTGAACGATTGACCCGGATTACATCCCAAGCTGCCACACCAGATCAACTTTGATAACGTGTGGAAGCTGCTTGGTCTGCTCTACCCCAAGAACACATCCAAATTCTCTTTGAATCAATGCCGAAGCGTGTGGCAGCGGTAATCTCCAACAATGGCGCCTACTCTGGCTACTGATTCTGGAAGGAACCACACTTCATAGTAGTCTATAAATTTAATCATTTGATACTTGGTCAACATGTTACCTACTAAATAAATTTTGTTATGATATCTCTTGTCTTTCTTGGTGTCGCAATTTAAGTGGCCAGTAGTGTAAAAAATTTCAAAAATTCATTTTTTAACGTACATTTTAAACGTTTGTCCTCATGAAAATTAAAGTTAAAAATGATGTTTTATGGCTACTCTAATTCAAAGAACGATTTTTTTTAACAAAAGAGACCCATGAACACTAAAGTAGAGCTGGGCCCTTCTTACCGCAAGCCCTTCAATTGTTTACTTCTCCCTTTCAAAAAAAAGGTTATGATTCATGGTGATAATGAAATGATGCATTAAAAATCAAAAATCTAAATATTTATATACGTGAATGTTCAGATTCCAAACTTTTGATGCTAAAATTCAACAAATTTAATATAATTAAATTGGAGTATAATTATTGACCTGGTAATATCCTCTAACCACAGTGTTATTGTCATATGCGTAACACTTTAAAGCTAATTATAGTAAAACTAGCACTATTTAAATATTGGATTAATATGTGAATCATTTCAATTACTTACCAATTGAAATACGCAGCATATATAAAGAAACATTGCTATTTATATGGGTTGAATGTGCTGTTCCTTTTTAGCAGATGCTGACGGACCCGCCTTAAATGGCCAATCCCCGAGTGATACAAGAACTTCATTATCTCCGCTTTCTGTTCAAATCGTGGCACTCAACTTATGCCTTAACCTGCAAACACTAGAGTTGCTGCCAACTTTTTAACAAAAATTCTGTTTGACCTATTTTTGATACCTGTATAAGAAAGACCTCTACCATATAGAATATTAATGATGACATATTTTTGGATACCTTGTAAGAATTATGTTAATTTTATTAAGAGTTAAATTTTGAGTTAAACTTCTTTCCTTTCAAAATCTTAATTTCAACTTACTACTGCCAGAACGTAGTTTTAGAATCACGTCTGAATACATAATGAGGAGGAGAGGTATTTAACCGTGAAGTTCTATTTGCTGAGTTAGAGAAAATCAGAGTTTCTGATTAGCTCGCGTCTGCCTTTTTGGCTACTCTCTCTCAAAGCTGTTATTACGTTCGGCCGTACTCAGGCCCTTGATAGCTTCGCAGTCATCTCGTGTTTAAGGGACCAACTACATTAAAACTTTCATAGCTTCGGCTATATCTCTTTAATTAGGTTTGTTTAGTTCTTAATATCTTAAGCTCAAAGCCCGAGTGTTCGGCTGTATTGTAAAACTTCAAGACGGAGTTCTGTTAACTTCTATCTGAATAATAAAGGGTTATTTTACCCTTTTTGCTTGTTGTTTCATCTACATGAACTCAAGCGATTATTCGCTTATCAGTTCTTAAGGTTCTTCACGTTCAACAGTACATTAGCATTTACAAAGTGAGAAACTCTACAACCTATATAATTTGTATAAAGAGTATTACCACCATACAGAAAATGAGTGCATTTTGAAGCTCTATTTGTTGATTCATTACTTTTTCATTCTTTTTGAATGTTTTAATAAATTTCATTATTAGTAATAAAAATTATTTTAATATTAAAAAACGTTTATACATACCTCGGAAAAACTGCACATTACTATTTGTTACATATATGCTGTGTTGTGTTGCACATAAAGGCTGCTATAGTTAAAATCAAAATTTATAATTATTTTGTACATAAATCTGCTTCTTAAGTTCTGTGAAATTAACCTCTTATTTATATATTTAATTATTTTTTTTTGTGTGATTTAGTTATTTTAATTGATGTGATGTAAAGTTTAATTCTACATTCTTTTTAGGATGACATGCTCACAGAATTATCCTAGGATTTTGCAGTTAAAGGTAGATTGTTCTCTGTTTTAAAATGGTGAAAAAATTTTAAAAAAAGCAAACCTCGGAAACTTATCATTCTGCTGTGTTATTTAACTCTATACTATCAAATGCTTAATTTTTGTAATATATTTTATTACTAATACAAGTATCGTGGTATTAGGTGCTGTCCATGTGTGCCTGTATAAACACTTGTGTTATTGCCTTAAGACTATTATAGAGTATTAAATGAGTGTTTTTTGGTGTTACTTCTTTTGCTGTATGTAAATTGAAGAACTTATTTTCATTATACAAAATTTAATAACATGTTCTGAAATTTTATTGTTTGAGAATTGACATGCATATCTATCAAATTATGAAGAATCTGTATATATATATCCGAATTCTGTATATATATATATCCATATCCATGGAAATTCTTTATATTGTGAAAAAATGACCACACCTAGAACCACCAAATTTTGAACACACATACCGTATATACTCGCGTATAAGTCGATACCGCGTATAAGTCGACCCCCCCCCCCACTTCGACATAAAAAATTCGTAGAAAATAAGAAACCCGCGTATAAGACGACCCCCCACTTCCGAAATCGATCAAGAAACTTCGAAAAAAATTTTTGAAGTACTACATTTATTCAAAATCATCTGAGAAAAAAAAAGTAAATATACGATAAAAAATACCTTGGTAAATAAACAAAATCAAAATCCTTCAACGTCGGATTCATGGTCACATTCGCCAAACATTTCATAGAACTCTTCTGTCGCCATTGGCTCGTCATCATACATATTTTCAATCTCGAACTCTGTATTGTTACAATCACTACTACAGCCTTCGTCGTCATTTTCACTTTCAAAAACAGCATCATCTTCCGTGCCGTCTAGTTCATTGCTAATACAACATTTTTTAAATGATTTTATAATCATTCAGAGGGTATTTCGCAGGCATTCGCATTTTTCAGGGACAAAAACATAAAAATTTCCAAAAGTGTCCACAATTTTGGCCACCACTGTAGTTCGTCACATAATTTAAGTCATGAAATTACTTCAAGTAAGTGACTTATTTGATAAGTCGTCCAATTCGATTGCGGGAAGAAAACAACTGCATTATACAAAGAAATTTTTGAACTTCCGATTCTTTTCATTTTTTATGGCCCCGCGTATAAGTCGACCTCCCCACTTTGAAGTCTTTTTTTTTTTTTTTGTCCAAAATATCTCGACTTATACGCGGTTATATACGGTACTTCTCCACCAGTATGTGTGCACCTCAAAATCTGAATTTTAAATTAATTTAAAGAATTTTTGTTGATAATTTTTTGTTTTTAATTTTTGTTGTTTGTCCATGATTTCAAAGTTATGTGTTATCCACTGCTGAAAATGAAACATTTTTATATTGTTAAAGTGTAAAATATTTAACTTTCATATTTAACTACCTGTTACTGATTAATAAACTAAACAATTAAAAGTATTAAATACAATTCTTAATAATATTTTTATTAATTTGTAATCTGATTGGTTTCAATAAAAATACTTATCCCTCCTGTCTAAGGTAATGCTAATAGTTCTTAAGAAAATTATTAAATATTAATTATGTTTATTCTATCCAGTCTATTCCATATCTTGTTACGATATGACTTTAAGCTTCTTCCTTGATTTTTCCCTATGGTTCTTTTATAAACATTCACCAAATTTCATTCATAGGTAAAAAGAAGAAAGAAATTTTACTTCAGAAATAACATATGACAATTGCTACAGGATGACCATTGTCTCCCTATTGTTAAGTTCACTATAAACAAAATTTAGATAAAATTAAATAACTGATATTTAAGTTAATGTCAGTACCGCAAATATGTACTACAAAATACCGTAGCATATCCAAAATGATATATATGTAGTTGAAAAAGATTTAAAGGAAGAAATAAGATTTTGTGCAGTGAAAAATAAATGGCTTTAAAGCATTTTTATTCATTCCAGGTCTCTTCAGAGCATAATCGATAGTAGTTGTCATGTTAAAGGAATAAGCTTCAATATTTATAGCTTGTATAATTTCATAATAAGCATTCATATAATGAGCTTATTTTATAATTTCTGTTGTATTTTTATTTCAAATCTGGAACTGGAGACTGGAATGATTGATTAAATTAGCATAATAAAAAAGCAATAACTTTGCTTTATTATTCAACTCATTAAATGCAAAGTCATTGAACACTGGTAAACCCTGGTAATGGGCTAGTTGTATGGATGCTTCCAGCAAATCTGATTTCTTCCATGTGTAACATGGATATAAGCATCCTTACCTGTAGGTAGTAGCTTTTAAGTTGCTTTGACTTGAATCATTAAATATTTGTATGGAATTATACTAGTTGGACCAAATGAAATTACACTAACTGGACATACTGAAGTCAATCTATATTATTTTTGTTAAATGTAATAATAACTGTGAGGAGCTATACTCAAAATTAAAGTGCTCGTTTAAACCCAGTATATACTGAAATTGGAGTAAAGAGTTTAAAATGTATAAAATAATTATTCTGCAAAAGGAATTAAACTGTTGTCGAAAAATTGGAAACTGTCTAGTAGTGTCACATCCACTATACTCCTCAGACCTAGCGCCTTCCATTTATCACTCGTTTCTCTCCTTGTAAAATGTTTTGAAAGGTAAAAAAATTCAGTACTGAAATAGATGTCACCCAAGCACTGAGTTCTTCATCTGTAAGGATAGGTCATTTTTCATAAATGGTATATACAAATTACTATCATTCTGGCAAGAGATTAAAAGGGCTAATTGAAATTATATTGTACAATAAATGTTATTAAGGATATGAAAAATGCATTAGTTTCTTTTATTTCCCAAATGGATAGCATTTTCCGGTAGACCTTGTATTAAACACCGTTTTGTTCACATTTATGCCAGATGCAATTCTTTACATTTATGCCTTCGAGCATATGTGGTTCCCTCTCTTGCATCAAGTAAACTAACTTATGCAATTTTCTTCTTATTTCTGCTTTATTTAATTCTGATGAGGAGGTAAATGGTTTTAAACCATAGGCACTCCGTAATTTGAAATCATTGGCATTGACTTATGTATGTACTATATGGAATATATCCCAGTTTTTGGACTTTACTCAGATTTCAAAAGGCTTTTTCCTAATGATTAATGAAATTTAGTATTTGATATAAAATTGATATGTATGGCTATTTTTCTTCGGCCAATCGATTCTCAGAAGTAGAGGCGTATAAGTGGTATAAAATTATGTTTTAGAAACGAGGAATTACATTTAGTCGCGGTCATCATCGCAATCAATGGAACTGATTCGCTTTTCATTGAACCGACGAAAATTAGAGAAATCCTAGATATTTATAAATGTTTAATGTTTTTGTGACATAGGAAGGGGGGGCATATAGGGCTCTGAATTTTACTTGGAACTAAAAGCCCCCTCACATGGTTGGCGTTTGAAGAAAAGAGATACGAAGCCCTTAGTATTCTTGATTCAGTGCGTAATCGATAAATCGCTTTATAGTTGGAAAAGATCTTGCTTTTCCTGTTTACGCTTTAAGATGGGGATGGGCAAACTTCAGCCCATGGGCCAGCTCTGGCCTACCGCAAATTAATAAACTATATTGCACAGAACTGAAACATTATGACCACTTACTCTATAATGCATTGCACAACTTTGGCCTGCAAAACAGCTGCAACTTGCTTTGTCATATATGTCATAACTTGTTAGTACATGGAGACAGGTTGCGCCAAATGTCTAAACAGTGGTCATGCAAAGTCGAGATATTCCAACTTGATCGTATTTGAGCTCTGAGCTGCCACTCCATGACATTCCAAATATGCTCTCTCGGGTTAAGATCAGGAAAGTTAGGTGATCAGGATATTCATTGGAATTCATCTGTATGCTTCTCGAAACACTCCAGCACAAGTCGACCCTTGTGACGTGGAGGATTGTCTTGCTGGAAGATTCCATAACAAGTTGGAAAGAGAGACATCATGTAAAGGTGCAACTAATCTGTAATGTTCAGATAGTCTGCAGCTGTCATGATCTGTTCTACCACAACCAAGGGTTCGAGAGCCACCCATGAGAACGTCCCCCAAAGCAAAGGCTTTGGAAAACAACCGAATGCTGGTAGGTAACAAATCCATGCCTGGACGGCCTTCTTCATCAACAGATGATGACCCTATCGAGAAAGTTTGTGCTGTAATTTGAGGAAATCATCGCTTAACTGTTCAAGAAGTTGCTGACTAAGTAGGCATCATGCCATCAAATTTTAGTTGACAAACTTGAGATGCGTTGTATCAGTGAAACATTTGTGCAGGGTTTGCTGACTCACAATCAGAAACAGACCCATTTTGAAATTAGCCAGGAGCTGCTTTCCTTCTGCCAATGACAATCAAAGCATTTTAAAGAACATCATAACAGGATATGAGATGTGAGATCCTATGATATTCAGAGGAAGATGCTGTTGTCACAGTAGGTGGACAAAAGATCTCCTTGTCCAAAATATCACTTATGAGTCTCAAAAATCAAGTTGACGTTGGTTTTCTTTTTTGACTGTAGAAGTACTGTCCATCAGGAATTATTACCATGCGATCAGAGTAAGCAAGGAAGTGTACCAAGGAAGCCCCACCCACTGTATTCTCCAGACCTAGCCTCAGCAGACGTTTTCCCAAACTGAAAGCTACATTAAAAAATGACCATTTTCATATCATAAAGGATATTCAAAGCAATGCGCTGAAACCTGGGCACCAGCCCAGAAAGTGTGAAAGTGTGCTAATGGTGACAATGCTTAAAATGTTGTACAATAAGCGATAAAGATGTTATACACCTCAAACATCAAGATGCCCTCTATATGTATATCTGCACTGAATATGAAACCTGTGCATGATGTAATCCTGAAGCTTATAATACTGTTTTATCTTCTGGATTTATTAATAGGCAATTTTGACATTTTCGTCAGTCCATGCAGTTTGAATACTGTGACGTGTTGTATTACATGAAAGTACAATGGCTTAGTGCAGGATGTGTTTTAGAGCGAGTCTTGTAGCTGAAAGATGGCATTTTGTATCATTTTTCCATGAGAAAATGTGTCATGTGAAGTGTGAAACATTAAAAGAGTTTTGGGACTTAGCATTTTCACAGATCTTCGTCATATGAACAACTTAAACAACAAAATGTAAGGAAAAAAATCTATTTGTTGATGATATCTGGGCCCATCTCAAAAGTTTTAATCTAATGCTTGATCTGTTTGTTCGGCAAATAGCTGAGAAACATTTATCTATCGGGTTGTCCGGAAAATAATGCAGATTTTTGAAATTTTTTATCTTTCCTGTACAAAGCAACAAAAATATTTTGAATTACACTGGTTATTTTGAAGCTCTATTATCGCTGTATATAATAATATTTTTTTTTTCCAAAACCATTTTTAAAAATATTTACTAGGTGTTTTTGTTTAGATGTCAAAACTGTATTTTCTGCAAATTTACTTTTATGAGTACAAGCTAGGCCACAGCGCAGCACAAACGGCTCGAAATGTCAACGAAGTATTGTAGGGTTTTTCTTAATTTGCATAACAAATTTATTTTAAGTTTTCCTGTTTTCAACTTCTCAAACTTCCCCTCACATTCTCTCGCCAGGATGTAAATTTTAAAGTTAAGTGAAGTGCTATTTAAAAGTGTGTTTTTATCACTTTATTCAGAGCGCGTTTCGCTAGCCTAGCGCACGTTTCGTTGTTATTTCGCGGTCACTCGAATAAGCCTTTTGGCTTTATCAGTTTAGTATCACGCCTGTCAGATTTCTGTGAGTCCATTTTTTAGGAGTAATTTTGAAGTGCGTTCTTGCACTCGTTTTATTTTTCAGATTTTGATTTGTATTCTAGTTTATGTTTAGTTATAGCCGCAAGTGAACGGGGGTTTTGTAACGCACGAAATCCGTGCTGTCTGTTATTTTAGTTTGAGTCAATAAAGGGTTATTTTGCACCCTTCTTCTGTGCTGGTATTTATTTCACGCCTGTGCGAGAATTCGCCAGGTTCATTGTAGGATCTAAGTCAGTGCATGTGGAAAAATAGACATAGATCTTACAGTATGGGGTGAGAAAAGTGTTACTGAATCTACAGTTCAACAGTGGTACCAAAAGTTTCGTCGTGGAGAATTTGACCTGGAAGATCAAGAGCCTCGTGGACACTCTTCAACTGTTGATGACGATGATTTTAAGACTTAAGTTGAAACAAACCCGTGCACAACTGTTCAAGAGCTTGCAGATCAGCTTAGCGTAACCAAAATAATGATTTCTGATCACCTGAATCGTATAGGAAAGTCAAAGAAGCTCGATAAATGGGTGCCTTACGAATTGAGCGAAAATTTAAAAAAATCGCTGTTTTGAAATGTCGTCTGCTCTTCTTCTCCGCAACAAAAACGATCCTTTTCTTAATCGAATTGTTACATGCAATGAAAAGTGGATTCTCTCCAACAACTGGCGACATTCGGCTCCGTGGTTGGACCGCGGTCAGACGCCACAACTCTTTCCAAAGCCAAATTCGCACCAAAAGAAAATTATGGTGACGGTTTGGTGGTCTGCGGCCGGTCTCAATCCAATCCGAGCATTTTATGCCGAGATATTGCGCGGCAGCGCAACATGTCTGGCTCAATAACAGGAATTTTGCCTATATGGTACATAATGTGAATGCTACATGACCGTGGTATCCCAAGGGAGGACTAAGGGGTTGGAAAGGTGTGTGGCCGATAGTAACAAGGCCAGTGAAGCAAATGGAGTCTTAAAATGGAGAAGCAAAATAGTGCGAGGTGTGAACCTAATACTGCATGAAGAATAACATGTGAAAGTAGAGAGAACACACAAAATATAATGCCGAGTAAATGATACAAAACAAGTAAATGAAACAAAATAAAATAAAATGCTGGTAATGAAGTTATATACACCATCTATGTTATATATACAGTGCATTATTTAGGTGGGAAAATTAGAATCTCGAGTGAGGTGAGCCGCGAGGGGGCGAATATTGTAGTCTTCTTGCAGAATTTCATTATTAAAAACATTTAAAGAGCTTATATGTATGCATTCACGTGCTTTAGCAAAGAATGTTTCGTTTGTAAGCTGAAGGTAGTCATCCATATACTCAATTTTTAAATCTTTATGCAAGGTATCGTTTCTAACAAAGCAGTGGGCGTTCGTAATCCGGCGTAGGTACATATTTTGGGTGATTTGTAATTTTGCAATGTCTGATTTGGAGGCCGTGGCCCATGCCGGTGAGGCGTAACAGAGCACCGGTCTGATAACAGCAGTGTAGATGTGCCTCGTTTTGACCAGATTGAGTTTTGAGCTTGAACTTAGCAGTGGATTTAATTGGTGAATAGTATACGAAGCCTTTTGTCTGACCTTGTCAATATGGTCCGACCAGGTGAATTTATGATTGATGACAACCCCTAAATAAGTTGCCCTCTTTACAAGTGGAATCGTCTTATTAAAAAGACTGAGATTAGCATTAATAGTCTTTCTTTACCTTCTCCTGATAATCATTAATTGTGACTTTTGAGCATTTATTGCAACGCTCCATTTGATGCACCAGTCTTTAATGTTAGGTATGAAGTTCTGCAGTTTTCGAATACCGTGCGTCGGACGGATAGATTTAATCGCTAACGCAGTGTCATCTGCGTAGCATCCAAGAAGCTGTTGTAGTCATTCTGTAATTTAGGGTCCATCACGTAGTAAAGATACAAAATAGGTCCTAAAATGGACCCCTGGGCTACTCCGGCGCACATTCTTCGGACGCTAGAGGTTTCCTGACCCATTGAGACATAAAATCTTCTGTTAGCAATGATTAGCAGAATTAGTTCCCTGTCAAAATTTAGCTGGATCGACTTATAAATGAGCCCCTCATGCCAGACGCGGTCGAAGGCTTTCGCCACGTCCAGCATGAGTAAGGCGACACTTTGCTTGTTATGTAAGGTGCTGCCAATAAACTCGGTGAGTCTAACTGTTTGGTTGTGGATCAGCTTTTTCTGAAACCAAATTGTTCCAAAGGTAGTCTGTTCCAAATTGTTCCAAAGTAGGGTTGCGGCCGGTGTCATCCATCACAGCTTCCTAAATCTGGGCGAAATGATTACGGCAGATAAGTACTGTCAGCAAATGAACGAAATGCACCAAAAATCGCAATACATGTGCTCGGTATTTGTCAACAAAAAGCGGCCAGTTCTTCTTTGTGACGATGCTCGGGCGCACGTCGTGCAACTGACCTTACAGAAATTGAACGAATTGGGATACGAGACTTTCCTTCCTCCCCCACATTCGCCTGACCTCTCGCGGATCGATTACCACTTTTTCAAACATCTGGATAACATTCTGCAGAAGAAATGTTTCAGAAACCAAGATGAGGTCAAAAACGCCTTTGACAACTTTATCGCATCCAGAACTCCAGAATTTTATTCCACCGCATAAATATATTTATATCTCGTTGGCAAAATGCATTGATTCGGCTGGTGCTTATTTTGACTAATAAAATTGTTTTTGAGTTGAGTTATGATACTTTAAAGATATAAGTGAAAATCCTGCATTATTTTCTGGACAACCTAATAATTTCAAAAGTTTAAATTCAATACCCCTAGTAAATGAACACAAGCATAAGAATTACGAAGATGGCCTGAAAATATTGCATTTTAGATTTGAACACAGATCTCAAGATTTCACTGCCATTCCAACAGATATAGATATTTTCACCATGTCTTTCAGTATAAATTGTGAAGCAATGAGACTGGATTTGCAGCTTGAATAAATTAAGTTACAATCTATTTATTATTCATGTTCCAAAATTAGAGTTCTGTAAATCGTTATTGAATTCCCAAGTTTAATACTCAAATTTTATATCTCACACCCAGAAAATTAATATTATGTTTATGCTTTTACCATGAACCTTAAAAAGAATTTTATTAGAATAAACTGGCAGATGAGCATTTAGCATCACGTCTCAGAATTAGTACATTGCAGTTTGAAACTGAATTTAAGAAACTTTTAAAAATGCGATTTAAACTTCATTTATCACATTCATATTTATATTGCAATATTTTTAAACTTTAATTAGAATAGAATATTATTATTAGAATAATTTTTTTTTGTCTGCTCTCAAAAATGTTTGCCCGTCACTGCTGCAATTTGTTTCTACTGCCGTTCGTATCATCGACCTCTACAAGTGCGTCAGCATTCCGTGCCATACACCACCACACCACTGTGGAGAAAACTGCAACTACAAGTATATCCATCTGTCTTCTACTAGAGAATAAATACAGCCACTTCTTTTCCTTTTTACTGTGAAGACACAAGGGGAATGGAAATGTTCCAACATTTGTATTATAATGTATTTTTAATGCTCACAAATAAAATATTTTCTTAAAAACTGACACTTGCCTGTTATATACAAACCTTTGGCTGTCCATTGGCATAATTTTTAGTGGATGCAGATCAATGCAGAAAGAGATATAGTTAAACAGGTAGGAGAACGGAATAAACAAGATATAGTTGAACCATGTTCATCAGAATTTTCCAGCCCTGTTGTTGCCGTAAAGAAAAAATGTGGTACATATGGAGTTTATACAGAAGTTCAGTAAAGTTACTGTGAATCAAAAGTATTTAGTACCAATGCTCTTAGAAACAGTTTCTTTCACATTGATGTAAATCAATACAGTAGATAATACCAATCATTTGTAATCAATACTGGTCAGTTCCAATTTTTAAAAGTGCCATTTGAGTAGCCATCCATCAGCAGCTTTTCAGCAATTTATAAACACTTCTTTCATCTATTCATAAGCAGTGGTATAGTTCTAGATAAATAATAGAAAAATTGTGCTTCAACTCATCATATAGTAACCTTTCCTAGATTTCTAGTTTATTATAGGATGATAATTACTCATTGTATATAAAACGAAAGGTAAACCATACTTATTTACATACATAATTTTTCACCGTCATTTACAACAACAAAATACCTTTGAATATTTTTTTAATTCAAATAAATACAAATATGAATTTTCATGAAAGTATGTTATAGCAAATGCTCATAAAGTAAGAACACCTGCATGCATTATTATTGCATAGAGTGTACCATATTGGTATTCTACTGTTTTACAGCATTGTTTTTCTGTATTGAGCAGATATCTTGCTGCACCATATGTTTCAATTATTACAAAACTGAAATTTACATTATGCACGTACTTGTATTCTATAATTAACATTTCTGTCTTACAATTGTAAAATACATTATTTTTTGTAAAAAGAAAGTGTTATAATGTACATGCGCTATACAACTGTAACTTGCTTACAAAAAAATTAGATACTTTAATAAATAGATATCAACATTTAATAACCTTAAATATCGTAATAATGACTACTTATCACCTACCTTTTTTTTTCACTTCATCAAACAAATTATGTTGTAACAAAATAATTATACAAGTATGCATTAAAAATTTTATAAATACTTTTATTGATTTAAATTCTAATGACAACGTTCAAAGTTCTGCAGTTTAAGTTAGTTACTGAAATATGGAAGCTGAAAAAGATAATATATTCAGGGTGATTCAAAACTAGAGGAAAAAATTTCTAGAAAGCCTATGGTACACCTAGACAACTCGGCATCCCATAGCAGTTCAGGGTCGGAAATGCAATCCTAAAGAGATGAGGGACTGTGGTATGAAAACCTGGACAGCTACCCGGAAAGGTATTACAGTGGAAAATATGAATACAACGTGATCGCAAATTGACATTTACAATCCATAAGTCATAACTTTATTGATAAAGAAGTTGACAAAGTTTCGTACTGCATGGAATCTCGTGGTAGTCACGAAGACGTGCCATTTCAAAACATCCGAAATTCCATGCCTTACGGCAAGTTATAAAATTTTGGGGACATTCTTCATGAGGGAAGTCATGACTTCTTTAAATGTCAGTTTGCGATCACTATGAATTCTAGTAATTTTGTTCGTACTACCTCTGATCAGCAAGAGAATAAACAAAGAAGCAGAAATGACAAGCCAATAATAGGTGGAAAAACTCTTTATTTAGCGAGAATTTGCAATACATCTACACCTTCATATCTAAACCTTCATCTTCACCTTTTATACTAATGTTCAAAATGCCAACCATTGACCATTATGCAGGCTTCACAAGGGTTACGCATGGGATATCGAGCCCTTTCAAAAATTGCGGAACATGTTTCAGAAGTCTGTAGCTGCCATAGAGACTCTTATATATCGGTGTTGCAATCAACGGTCATCTCTTAGACCATAGCTTTCAAGGTGCGCCAAGAGAAGAAACCCACGCTAGGTAAATCGGGTGATCGTGGTTGGCCATGGGACGGGTCTTGCACTCCCAATCTACTGTTATGCGAATGTGTTGCTCATATAATCCTGTACGGCACGGGTAAGATGAATTGAAGTCCCATTATGCTCATACCTTGAGAGTTCAAGATTGGAATACCTTCCGTGTGGAAGAAAGTTTTATTGGAAAAATTTCTTATTCCGTTTCGAGTCTGTAAGTCGGGTAAGGAATTATAGGTGGAAAGCAACATAACTTCCTTCGTAATAATAGTACCACAGAACAAATATTTCCTTCAGTAGTGCGTAGGAGATGCTAAGAACGGAACCAATCAATCAAATTTTTCCTGCTTTCCTGAGTTTTAAAATTGTCTAAAGCATAAACCATCGTAAAACTGCATGATAATTTTAAAATCACAGATAGGTTTTTGACCTGGGCATAGAGCATAAAGTCTAGAATTATGAAAATGATATATATAATAAATGTCTTTTTGATTTTTTTAAGTTAGGTAAGTAGATTAGTTAGGCTGATCTTTAGGAATCTCTTTCCAAGATCTGCTTAGTTTTTTGTTCGTTGCTGAATTTTGCTTGGAACCTGGCTAAGAATTCAGCATAAATTTTAATTATATAGCTTTTAGAAATCCTGATATCGAACTTAGTGAATCTAGTACAATTATTCTCTGATCAGTTTGCATAATTTGCCATAACTTATAAGCTTACATTTAATTTTCTCAAAATAAAGTTAACTTCTTTACGACCAATAGTTTTCTACTTAAATAATACACATAAAATTGTTTTACATAGAAGCATCCCAATTATTATAGTTATTATGGCAATTCCAAAATTAAAAACGGAAGACGTACAGAAAACTTTGTGAATAACTGCAGAAGAGAAGATTTAAGGCAATTTGAGAACGTTGATGTGATCCGTTTTTACATTGGCGAGAACCCAACTGTTACTGATTTCTGCAAGTGTGAGCAACAAGCGGCAAGCCATCTAACAGATTTTCCGTAATTGCATTGCCAGGATGGTTAAAATGTTTTTTTAATAAATTGCTAATAAAAAAATAAATAAAAATTTTCAATATATTTAATAATAAACAGAATTTAGCTGCATGTTTGTATACATTGTTACTTTCGTTTGGTTTGGTTTATTAGATTACAGCAAAGCCTTCGAGGGCTATCTGCCTTAAGGGAGGGATGCCTTCGTGGAGGACTTTTTAAGGGAAACGGGCTCGTATACACGTTACACATGGGGAAAACCACGAAAACACCCAGTCCGTTCGCGGGATTCGAACTACCAGTGTTCAGCGACGTTACCGCTCGGCCGCTGGTGGGCCTCGTTGTTACTTTAAATAAATTGTTTATATAATTGTATTACATATGATAATTAATGTATATAATGTGTTGAATTATGTTACTGTTTTAAATAATTCTTGGGAAAATTATGTAAAATATGATAATAAATACAAATTTATATTAAACTTCCTCTATATGCACGTATCAAATACCTTAATATTCTGTAGATACTGCATGAATTACCATTCCCCGAAGTTCGTTTTGAATATTTGGAAACAAATTGCACTATCTTACGCCCAGATTTCGCCAATGCCGTTTTCTCTCGCCAAGTCTGCTACAGAAGATAAGTCCCGATTTTAGATTACGTAAAATACATCAGGTCATAAGTGAAGGATTAAAGCAGATAAATTCAGATAACTGGCATGTACACTGCTGGCCACCGTAAATGCAACACCCTGAAGGAAGCATGCAGATAACATGAAATTTACAACATGCATTAGCGGAGGTGAGATATGCAAATGATTAGAATTTCAGCGCAGACGCACTTCACGCGCCACTTCAAAGCGCTATTCAAAGCACCGGGTATTATATTATGGGGCTTGGAGTTTTCGACGATTTCAAGTTCGGCAATTGTGTTTTCTTCAAAAAAACGATCAATTATGCCTTGTAGTAAACAGCCATCATCGTTTGATCAAGTATCCGAGTTCGAGAGAGCAAGGATAGTGGCCTACCGAGAGTGTGGATTATCTTTCAGGGAAATCGGCAGTCGTGTTGGACGAAACTGAACAACGTAAATGTAACGGTTGGATGCATGAGGGTACGACGGACCAACGTGTTCGATCGCATTCACCTCAGTGCACCACTTCACGTGATGACAGGAACATTGTGCGCATGGCAGTGACGGATCGCTCAGTCACATCACGAACCTTACCACAGCATATTCACTCTGTAACGCATCATCCAGTGTCTGCGCGTACTATTCGACGCCGTTTACAGCAGAGTGGCCTGTCCTCAAGACGTCCATTGCTTCGTCTACCCTTGACGCAGAACCACAGACGTCTCCGTCGCCAATGGTGCGATGAAAGAAGGGTGTGGACGGCAGAATAAAATGAAATTGTCTTTGTTGACGAGTCACGCTTCTGTCTGCAACACCACGATGGTCTGATTCGAGTCTGGAGAGGATGCTGAACAGCCGCGTTATACACCGCCGCACTGGTCCTGCGCAGGGTATTATATTATGGGGCGGTATTGATATCACTCTCGCACTCCTCTAATACGCATTGCCGGTACTTTAAACAGCCTGCGCTACATCTCCGAGTTGTTGGAGCCAGTTGCCCTTCCTTACCTTCAGGGCTTGCCCACAGCCATATTTCAACAGGATAATGCGCGAGCACACGTGGCACGCATTTTCCAAGGGTTCTTCGTCAATCGCCAGATTGAATTGCTTCCCTGACCGGCTCGCTCTTTGGATCTTTCGTCGATAGAAAACGATTAGTCACCGAGAGGTTGCTGAACGATTGACCCAGATTACATCCCAAGCTGCCACACCAGATCAACTTTGGCGACGTGGAGAAGCTGCTGGGTCTGCTGTACCCCAAGAACACATCCAAAGTGTTTTTGAATCAATGCGGAGGCCTGTGGCAGCGGTGACCTCCAACAATGGCGGCTACTCTGGCTACTGATTCTGAAAGGAACCACACTTCACAAAAGTCTGATACTTGGTCAGCATGTTATCTACTAAATAAATTTTGTTGTGATAT